ATCACGTTCAATTCAGTTCACGGCAACATCGTTTTCTGTGAATAGTTCGAATCTACACTCAATTTCTCAGAACAATATATAATATTGTAATAACTTATCTTCCTATCCAGTGAAATATAGATATTACTCATATTTGCTGAAATATAACAGTTCAGCCACAATCTGGATTAGTTATATTGCACATGACACCAAGTTTAGGTATAACTATTCATAAGGACCATTAATACAACAATTATTCCGTAAAAATGTCAAAATCCCAGGGAAAAACAGAGGAATATCATACATTTTTGAAATTCGAAACTGGATTTAGATAAATGATAATTTTAGTAACATTTTTAGCCTGTCCGAAAAAGGAACCCATGTGACGTGTGGAAATAACACGCGCTTATTCGAACTTGGACATCTTCGTATGAATAAAACAAAAATTGAACTTCTTGAAGACTTTGAAGGGGATTAAACATATCTTGGAGATTAGAGATTAAGTGAGGACGATTTAATTTGCCCCCATCCTGTAATCCGGACAAGTTTTAATCCCACAAGTCACGGTCAACGGGAAAAGATGGTCATCGAGTCATCTGCGCGTACAATCAACGAGAGGTGGCGCTATACAAGATACATAAGTGTGGAAGCAAACTCGTTTTGATAGCACTATTAACGTGATAGCAATTTCCTTCGAAAAATTAACCTAATGTAATTTCCATAGCCGTGTGCGTCATCTGTTAAAATGAGCAAATATGACAATGTCGTATTATGTAATTCAAATACGATTTCTACGGAATATACGATAGAGTATTAAAAAAAGACTTTGAGTTTTGATTTTTAAGAAAAAGTTTCTATCGTGTTTATGGTGTCCCGAGTGAAAAAAAGTGCCAGAGAAATACTTGAATATTAATGTATTAATAAAGTTGTATCCAAATATAAATATGCCAGATATTTCATTTCAGCCGCAAATAGCCTATCTATACTATGGATTTTTGAAAGACATTGGATGGCTTCTAATAATATAAATGCACAGTCATAGACATTATAAATCAAGCGAAAATAGATAATATCTATTTGCTATTTTTTCGTCATGACATTGACAAACACAGTTCTAATCTTATGGAAAATTTGTACTTAAACTGGTATTAAGAAGATAACCTGTATAAACCAATACTAAACCTATATAGTATGGAACAAATCGTACGAATTTAGAAGAGCAGAACGAGACAGAAACTAGCACGAATGGCAATCGATTCCGATACTTTTTAATTCACATTTAGCATTTTACAATTAAGATTGAGTTACTAATGGCTGATCAGTTATTGAAGGGTCTGTTCGCATTTATTAAAAATTTGTTTATTTATCATTTGTTTTTTCAAACAACATTTTCCTTTATGATGTTTCCTTAATAGTGTTTTACACCCTTTAGAGAGAAAAAAAGAAGTGTATTTTCCATTGTCTTTTGACTCCTTATTTCAGCGGGATAAAAAGTGTCCATATATAATCAATGAAAATGAAAGATCTGCAAAATATCGTCTTCAGCGGAGTTCGGCTTTTTGCAAATCGGACAACCTCTTCTCCGAAAACGTCGTATCCTTGTGAGTTTTTCTTTTACGTCACTTCAGAACATTGGCCTGAACTGCTAGTCATTTAGACATTTTCGCGCCCGAGCTTCTGAAAATTGTCCGAGCTCTTGTCCGAGCTCTTTCACTTTCGGAATACTACCCTACCACTACAATGGTAGTCATTTCGGTTACACTGAACCTGATAACTGATCGTGAGTTGGACAACTATAGACTGCTTAAATCGACTCCAGGAAACTGGAAAGCATCTCGAGGCCAAGGAGTGTACATATTCAAGAGTACAAAAGGACACACGTAATTACGAACAATATCTGTCTCATATGAGAACGGATCTTCCAACACTGGACGCCGCTCTGCACTGCATGTCCACTGATGTCTCCTAGGAGACGTTCACACCAAGACTGCACTAGGATGGGCTGCGACAAGGATGGGCTGCGACAAGGAACCGATGACTGCCGTCTTCAACGTAGTAACTCTTCTCCAGCCTTGGCCGTATCGAGATACACGTCGGTTAATCATCGGGAGCAGGCTTGCGATGTTGTCATCTTTGTATCGTTTTCCTTCTGGAAGCCAAGTAGAAAAACAACATTTTTGGTAAAGTAAACACGAGATGAGTTGGATGAGTAAATCAAAATTAAGGTAAAGTAGTGTATTAGAAAATGTTATAAATTGCTGTCCGAAGAAAAGTGACCCACACGAAACATTTTATATACACATGATGATGAAAAAATTGCACTGCATACAAGTGAATCTGAAAACGAAATAAAGTTTAAAACAGGAGATGAGAGTATGAAAGTCAGTTATCCATTATCTATTGTAAAATAATTAAGGAGAAAAGAGGTTGAGACAGATATATATAGAGAGAGAGAGAAAAAAAGTAACAGAGAGAGAGACAGAAATACAGAAAGACAGATAGATAGATAAAGAGAGAGAGAGAGAGAGAGAGAGAGAGAGAGAGAGAGAGAGAGATAACAAAAAGATAACAAGAGATAACATAAAGATAACAAGAGTAAAAAAAAATGACTGATGGGGGTCGAGAGAAATATAGGTAGATAGATGGATAATATAGATGTAGATAGGTAGATGGATGGATATATATAGATATTCATGTAGATGTAGATAGATACTGATTAGAAAAGAAGATCCGATAGAGGGAAAGAGATAGATAGATAAATAGAGAGAGAGAGAGAAAGAGGGAGAGAGAGAGAGGGAGAGGGGAGAGAAAGAAGGGGAGGGGGCAGTGAGAGGGAAGGGGGTGGGTGGGGGACAGCTATGCATTACCTTTCTGTCTTGAGGGAATCTGTTTTGAAATTGGGCTTGAAGTCAGACACCTTGTACCCAGCATGATGACCATTAGTCGTGTTAGCACGGGACTTCTCTGATCCCGAGTAGCTACATCGAGACAAAAATATAAAAAATCATGATGAAAAGTCCTTATCAAACAATTGAACTTATCTCTAAGTTGGACTTAAAATTTATGGAAAGCCGTTAGCATCTATGAAAATATTATGTAAAACTTATTTTAAAAGGCATAAAAATGATGATTCAAATCATTTATATTTTCTATCATCTATGAGATTTCATGTTCTTGTTCTTGATGTGAAATTTTTGAAAAGTCTAAAATACTTGAATTTTCACTTTTGAATATATTTTATCTTAAGGCTACAAATAGCTCTCCATAATTTTTAAGTCCAACCTAGAGTTAAGTTCGGCTTAGGATCTTTGTGAAACACTCCCCCTGGGCACTTAACAAAACGACGAACACAACAAAACAAATACGCGCATGCAAAGATAAAGCAAGCAATTGCATGCATGTACACATACTTTAAATCAACAAACTTCAATGAATATCATCAATAGCATAAAAAAAAAACTAAACAAAATAAATACTTTTTAAGGCTGAATGAAAGTTTTGTCACTTCAAATAAAAATTGACAAAATGCACTAGGCCTAAAAGAAAGAAGATGTGTATTGCCCTCTGCGACCCGCGACCCCAAAATCTTGAAATCTATTTTAAACCGTTTTTTAGAAGAAAAAAAGGTTTTAAGCATTCAAAATTGAGAAATTTCAGATCAAAGAGGGAGTTTAAAAAAAAAAAATCTTTAAAGAAAAAATATTCCGACCGACCGACCCGTGTTTTGGCACCTAAAGGGCAATACAGCATCTTTTTTTAAAAAGCCCTATGGGGGTATTACAGTGGCGTATCCAGACGTCATAAATGTTGGGGGGGGGGGGGAGGAATTCCCTCAAGAAGGGGAAATTGAATGTACTTGAATAGGCATGCAACTAAAATGTAAAGCATCACATCACAGCAGTGTACTGAGTGAGCATGGTAAGGATGTCGGTGTTGGTGAAGGTAGTGGTGATGGCGGCGATGGTTTGGGCGTGGGGGGGGGGGGGGGTCACAGGCACACATCCAAGTGACGGTTGGGGTGCAGCAAACATAGTGCTTCCATCCGTGATGAGTAAAATAAAAAGACATTCGTGCGTCTTTATTGTGCAAATCGCTTCGAATTTTCATCAAGTCTCAATTCGTTACCGATTACGCACACACTCAAGAGCCGATATCACAAAGTCGAACACTTCAACAAAAACCAAGCTACATATATAAGTACATTTAGCAGCAGAGAGTGCAGCATAATTATTCAAATCACATCTAATTTAAGCACATTATTTGAAAGAAAAGATGCATGAGGATGACATGGATTAAGATAATATGCTAAACCAGAAACCCCACTTCTAATAGACAGGTTTACTAACATATTCAAGTTTTATGCATAACTTTTGAACAAAAGTTGTCCTTGACAACCAGAAAGATTGCCAGAGGAATGCCCGACATAGCAACAAGTAATGTATGCGGACTGGATCCCAAGAACTATAGTTCATTCATTAATAATGGGTTTGTGGAAGATCTTGTTACTAGATCTCAGGGAATGAAATCCATAAATTTTAATAAATTAGTAAACCGGTCTATAAAACAGTCAGTCATTCATTCACAAGCAAGTTGACAACCTTTCCTTGACGTTGAGGGAGCATGCATGGATGTATCGGGGGAAAAAAGGCCTGAGCACATTTTTTTTCTTGATGGAATTTCCTTCCACACTAAGCTTTATCATCTTAAGAGTGTTCAGTTTTCGATGAAGTCGTCGATATTTCTATTTTTTAAGACAATCCCAAATGTCGGGCGTACAATATGACGACTTGATATTGATAAGTGATACATTTGCAGTGTGTGTGAATTGTATATAGCGAAACAATGTGCACAGGCTTTGACACACCCTTCAAACAAAATGGCCGTCACCAAAACTCACTCGGAGCTTAATGATTGTGTGACGTAATGTTCGACAACCGATGACAAACTGGTCTGGGGGTTCGTCGAATGCCATCGGATATCGTGCAGTTCACCGATCTGAACACTGGTTGCATTCCTAGTGGTGCATAGTTAATAAGTCACGTGACACAACCAGCCAATGAGAATGGAGTTAGGAAGACATGTGAGTAAACAATGGTTATTTTATATCATTAATATTTATAGACATTATTTATTAATTAATTTGTAGACAGGTGCTAAAGCATTAATTAGGGATTATCCAGAAGCGACTGATTGTAGAAAAAAAAGATTTTGTTGTTGTTATTTCCTCTAAAATATGTTAAATATCGATGAAGGTCAACGATATACATCACTAAACGTTATCAATAGTAAAACAGATTTACTCCCTTAACTAATCAGGAGTCATAATTTCGCAACCACACTTGCAAGCTATCTCTTCACTGGCTTTTTGAAATTCAATTTTGCGTTAGATGGTAGTTACATCTTGAATAAATCTGAGTGAAATGCAAATACACATCTGTATGACATGTTAAAACGCCTGTGGCTATGTTTTGCTATCCCAGTGCTAATGATTCTTTAAACCCACTTAAGATTACAATGATCGTTGCGAAATTAATTGCATTAATTAGCCATGATTGATGGGGTGAGGAAATAGGTCCTGTGTTGAAAATGCATGATTTGTATTAAACAAAATGATATAGCCAAAGAAATAAATGACAACCACCGAATGTGAAATGACCATCGTATGAACCGTAGAATAGCCATTGCGTTCCTAAACCAAGTATTCCCCAAGAAAAAGCAATAAAATGGATAAATATGTACCGAGTTTTCCTATTCTTTGCACAGAGGCATGCGTAAAAGGTTCTGGATGTAAACTTAAAACTTGAAAATAAAATTGAAAAGAAGCATGAAATTGCCGCACGGAACAATGGATACAAAAGTTATATAAATATAATACATATATAAAGAATATAAGATGAAACGATACGTCATGTCATGAAATTCGTTTGGTTAAAAATGCATAGGGGTTAATAAAAACAAATGAATTATAAAATTTGTTAGGATGTAGTGCAATGACACTAATGTAATTAGTGATGCCTCAATCGCCACAGCGAGCGCTTTTTGTTCTTCACAGCATAGAGGTCTTATATAGCATCTCCATGGTTACATAATATTTCCAGCACACTTATAAGCAAATATATAGCCGTTATCACTCGATAATCTGATAAATAGCGAATTCTGAGCCGATTTTATAACCACCACCTGCGGTATATTCCTGCCGTTTGTTGAAAGCATTGTAAAAATCAATAACATTGAATACCTTATCGACTTTGAGAAAAGCAGAAAGCTAGATGGAATGAACGAAAAATGTTATGAAGATGTGAAAAAGTCAAGATGAGAAGAAAAGAAATGGGGGGGGGGGGAGAGAGAGAGATGGAGAGAGAGAGAGAGAGAGAGAGAGAGAGAGAGGGGGGTAGAGTGAGATATGAAGAGAGAGAGAGAGAGACGGGTGGGAGGGGATAGAGAAAGGGAAGTGAGATTGAAATGGGGGGGGGGGGGGGGTAACAAAAGAGAGGAGAAATTGATATGGGGGGGGGGGGTAGAGAGCGATAGAGAAAAGGAGGGTAAGAGGGAGGGAAAAAAATCGAGTCAAGAAGAAAGTATTGGCCAACGTCCTGCGCCAAAATAGAATAATATTTGTTATGAATCTATTAAAAAACTACTCAAGCTATTTCATATAGAAGAACTTTTAGATCAGTTATGAGCAATGTCCATGAACGTATTTGGCGGAAAAAAAGAAGAAAAAAAAAGTTGTTACAGAAATGACATCATTTTTTGTTTTTAATTCATTAAAAAAGCATACCTTCCGAAACCCATCTAAGTTACTCTTGGTAATTTCCTTGTACATCATTGCCGAATGACATACATGTACATGGTATATGTGCACTTTCTGTTCTTTGTAAAATATCACTGACATTATAATTTTCAATACTAAGCTTTTTTCTGTTAAAAGTACTGATTGTTACTTTTAATGACAAATGTATGAAAATGTTATCTACATTGTAAAATATTACTGAATGAAGGAAAGTGGAACTGAAATGTCATTTGACCATTACACTACCATTTGTATTGATAATTATGATACATATGGCTATATGAAAGCAAAGCACTTGCGTCACAGTACTTACGCCTTGCGTCTGTGTCGCTGTTGACTCTCGATGTTCTCCTTCCAGGCGTAGGCATTTGTTGTTTCCCCGTTAGCACTGTGAGCTCGGTGACCCTTCGCACTGTCCCCGCCACTTCGCATGTCTTCTGTATTATCCGTACCCTGCAAAGGAAAAGATGATTAATTATAAAAACAATTCATCTTTGCCCTCGATATCGGACAACTTTAATGTCCGTCGCACACGAGGCGTCAATTGCTGACGCAGGGCCTGACGCAGGGTCTGACGCAGAACTGCGTCAGCGACTGGTGCGGTATCTTTCTATCTATTCCCAGCAAGGAGGTTGATTGCAACATTTCTTCCCCACATATCTTCGTTTTCTGCCTTTGTAATGTAACTCCCCTCCATTTCTTTATGTCCCCCCTCACAGTCAGTTCTTGGTTTCTCTCTTCGTCTAGTACCTTCTACTTTACAAATCATAGCACTTACAGACTTCGGTGGTATAAGCGCTTTATAAGTAACGTTTTAATTTTAATTTTTTTTAATTTTCATTTTACCTTTTCTTCGTTTGACCATTCCCGGACACTTTGTTCAAGCCCTGCCATAATTATGTAGTATTTCTCCATTACTTTTCACATTTCTCATCATTCTCCTGTACACCCAATGTTCAAATGATGTTATTTCCTTTTCCATATTCTTTGTTAATGTCCACTATCGTAGCCCAGAATATAATATTTTTAAAGGAAAGTTTGACCAAATACGGTATAAAAATGTCATCTCGCTTAAATTGACTGTTAAATGTGTTTGATATTTGATGAAATTTACTCACCGTCGCCCCTGAGTTGTTGAAGAGATAGTAGTGCTGGCCGTACATCTTCTTATGTGCGTTTTCCACCGCTCGTTGGAGAGGAGTTTTAAAACTCTGTGGACGAAAAGCTGGTGGACCTCGCTATTTGGAAGAAGGAAATGGTAAAGGTAAATGGGGAGAATTAATATCAAGTGGTAGTTTGTTTAGGGTCCGTGAAGACAGAGTGAGAGAGAGAGATAGGAAAAAGGGCGAGAGAGAGAGAGGGAGAGAGAGCGAGGGAAAGATAAAGAAGGTGAGAGAGAGGGAGAGAGAGAAAGAGAAAGAGAGAGAGAGAAAGAGAAAGAGAGAGAGGGAGAGGGAGAGGGAGAGAGAGAGAGAGAGAGGAGGAGAGAGGAGAGAAAGACAAAATGCAAGAAGACAGACAGATAGACAGATGTAAACAGAATTAGAACGATAGAGAAAGGAACAGGATAAAGTCAATCAAAAACCATGAAAAATAGACAGGATCGGAAAACAACAAGAAAACAACACCATTGCAAAATGAGTATATGCAGTTGCAAACACTTTTATAAATTTAGTTGACATAAACGAATTGACCAACTTGCAATCAATATTTTCATCTTTAAAATCCACGATGAGATCTGGGGGCGTTTCACAAAGCCTTTTTTTCAATGACAAATGACAAAAATCAGTGACAAATCTGCTGATAACCAATCAGAAGCAAGGATTTCACTAGCTTATAACAAGAAACTGTCATTTGTCACTGATGCCAATTTTTGTAAAACACCCCTCCGATCGCAGAAACGTACTTACGTGTTTATGGTGGTGTTCTCATATAATTGTAATCACCAGTCTGATGATCACCATCAAATTTATCATCATTATAAATCGTTTTAGTTGAATTCCACGCTCGAAACTTATGACATTTCAATTATTCTGCATAGCAGGCCCATTTCAGATTTCCATTCAAAGACGAATCAACTACATTTATACCATACGTATTCTTGCTTCTCTAAGAAAAATAGTTTCATTCAATATTGTCATCATCATATCAAATAATGAATTAACGAAACTTTTATATTACTAGCACACAGATAAGATGAAATGTTTAAAAGCATGACATTTTTTTTACAGTAAATAGTATTACAACATGCCATACATGACCAAACGTTATGACAATTTCATTCATAAATCCACAATCTTTCAAACAAATTTCAATCAAACAAATAACAAGACAGAGAAATAAAAATGATCATCACTACATTTTCTAAAACTAAGCATTTTCACAGAAAGCAAATAATTCTTTTTAGAGAAGGAATATTTGATGCCTATCTTTGCAGTATTTTGAAGAGAGCAAAAGAGGAAAAACTTGTGAATTTCAAGAAAATGTGCAGTTTTTTCTGTCAAAAGAAAAGCAAACTTACCTTCGCAAACCTATGTTTACCAAGTACTTGTGACACTATACGATCTTTATCACGATCGCAATCAACTTGAAGCTGATAACCATCAAAGTAATTTTTTAAGAATTGGGAAAAATCCATCCAAAGAAAAGCCAAAGATGTGGGAAAGCATGCAAAAGGAAAGTTTCAAGAAATAAAAGAAAGAGAAAATGTACAATTACTAAGCACATGCGAGCATGATTGAGAAGGATTTGTATAACGTTGTTACCATGTAAACTTAAAGGGTAGGAACATGCGTGGTTGTAGGGGATGGCGGGAAGGGACATTCGGAATCGATTTCCGATTTTCTGGTAGATGTCGGCTGTCATCAGCAAAGCTAGAGTGGCCAAAGGTCATTTGAATGACACTCACACTGACAAGAATTTAATAGCGAAAGGATGATAACATACACTAAACATAATTATCTTGTAAAGCAGCGTTACACACAAATGTCATTCATATCTTCAACCAAATCATCATTATAGGAAATTAACCAAAGCTTCTATATAAAAAAACAAAAACAAAACAACAAAAAACTTGCTCTTGTGGCGATTGCTCCGCGTCATTCCCCTACACTGGTCGAACGACGAAATACAGCCGGAGCAATTATTGTCGAAGGAGCAAAATAAATGTCGGATCACCGAGAAGGCATCTCAAATTCATCAAATACATTAAGAACATTGTGTTTAAATAAAGGAACATTCAGATATGACTCGGTTAAACCGCCGGTAAAGCAACAAACAAACAAACACGGCGGTATGTTTTACGTGTAAATGAACGGCAACTGAGCGCAGCAAAGGTCATTAACTAAGTGTATAAGAGACAGAAATGTGAATCATTACATTTTATGTCATCACACACACACACACAAAACGGCCGTTTATCTATTCGAAATTAATCTTTTTGTTGTTGTTGCAATTTGGATCATTGTTTCGGGCAATTAAAAAAAAAATTGAGTTGGTGGTTACCTTGCGAAAGTGCTGAAATATAAAACTGAAATCAATTTTCATTTTTAAAAAAAAGAGAAGAAACAATATTCAACATAAGCACAGATTGAGAAAACCGGAGACTGCATACAATGTATTGTTCGTCGTCAGGTTAATGTTATAAAAAATGATTAATTACAGCAATCTTGATTGGTTAAAATTGTGATGAGTTCATTTGATTTCAGGATTAGGAACCCCACCTTGTCCCATAATTATGATCGAAATATGTCTATATCATAGGCATAAATATAGGCAACACCGGTATAAGACAAAATGATAAACAAAAACTGTTATTTTTACTTCTTTTTTTTTTGCATTAGAATATCCAAAAGAAACCTTCCAAGTATAAATGGGTATGATATCCTTTTGTTTCCTTCTATTTATTTTAAGCAAAAGTCGTTTTATATACACTTTTCTTCATTTCGAAATAGAGGTCGGGAAATGATATACTTGCGTTTTTAGAAGATGAGTAAAATTAAGACGAACATCAACGTTTCGAAATTGAGAGATAGTGACATTTAGATCATGGAGTGGATGCTTTCAAGTGTAGGATGAAAAGGTTACATAATAATTATGTACATGAGGTTGAATGGTACCAGTATTACCCAATACTTAATTGAATTGCAAAGCAAAGCTTATAAAAAACACAGTGTAATGTAAATGAATGAATTATGAATTGAAACAAAAACAAAGTGGGAATTTTTAGCTCAAAATCAGGTTTATCATGAACTGTTTGAGTGCGCAAAAAACACAGTGTTATGTAAATTAATGAATTATAAATTGAAAACAAAATAAAAGTGGGAATTTTCAGCACAAAATGGGGTTTATCATTAATTGTTGAGTGCGTCCACATGCAGGCCGTTTTTATCAAACTTTCTACCTTTGCTGTTTGGTGGTCCCTTTTCCCGCCTGATTTTGCTGCTGGGTGAGTTGTTGAATCGTTTATCTGCGGAACCTTGGGAATAAAGTCACGGTTTCCATGGTTATACTTAAACCATAAAGACTACAGAGTTAAGGTTATTACTAAACTACGTCATAAATTAAGAATTGTAGACTAATTGACTTTCTCCATCATGAAGAGAATAAAGGAAGGTATAGGCCTATACTCAATTCAAAAAGTTAACTTCCGAACAAGATGGTGCTAACCATGACGTAAACCTGACTAGAAACTTGAAACCAAGTTATCAACAGGACGAGAGAAATCTTTAGAAAAGGTTTATTTTGTAAGAAATCTCTCACTGGTGTCATAATGTTAAAATATTGTTATTAACGTATGTAAAATATATACTATTTACTGTAGGTCTACATTCTACAAAGGCAATTAATTCAAATCTAAAACTCTAAATGCAAAAGTGGAAACTCATGGTGTAACGGAAATACACAATACTGAAAACACTAAAAGATTGAGTGATTTCATATGAGATATTACAGACTATGACTAGAATTCACAAACCCGGTTCATCTATCTATAGTGTCTCACATATTAAGAATGCTAGATATCTGTTGCAAATACGAAATTAGAACAAAGGTGAATCAATTAATATTCGTAAGGAAATTTGTCTAACTGTGCGTCAAACTTGCGAAAGAATGCAGTAGGAAAAACAAAATAGAGAAGTAGTAGCAAAAGAGGAAGCAGTCATGATATGAGCAGCAGTGAGATATGTTTGAAAGTAGTGTGGAAGGACCAAGCGTGAAGCAGCAGAAGTTTTAAAAGTGATAGTTTAAGCGGAATTGGTGTTTTTCATCTTGGTCGAAGTAGCAATAGTATTCACTGTTATGAGAAGATAAGAAGAAGAAGAAGAAGAAGAAGAAGAAGAAGAAGAAGAAGAAGAAGAAGAAGAAGAAGAAGAAATAGAAGTGGAAACAGTTGTATAAATAGAAGAAAGGAAAGGACGCGGTCGAAGCGTGACTCGTAACCATCGTAACTGGAGCAACTGTTTAATTCATGTCACAGACTAGCAGTGCGAGACGAATTGGAAGAAAGGAAAAGGAAAACAGAAAATTATAAAGAGAAAAGAGAAATAGAAGAAAGAAAAGAAAAACAGAAATGAAGACGAAAGAAGACTTCATGAATAGGAATTGGAAAAAAAGAATCAGATTGCAATATGAAAAGAAAACAATGAAGAAGGCAGAAAAAAGAGAGGAAATGGAATACAGATATCACCGCAATGAAATGTGAAATTAGATTTACGCCCGTTGCACACGAAGCGTCACAGACACAGGACTACGTCACCGATTGGCGCGGCCTTTGACGCATCATGTGAGATTGTGAATTCAAAATGAAAATTGCAGTCATTGCTTTGAATCTTTGGTGCATGCAATAATTGTTGTTCATATCATGAATTAGCGCATGTAATAGCGCAATCAAAAATAAATGACGCATCGTTTGCAACGGGCAATATAAAAGAGAAAGAAGCCCGGTACCTGACGGACATAGCCAGCGGAGTGTACCCGAGACTGTCCCCGTGCGAGTGCAGACTTGAGAAGCCTCTGATCATTGAAGACGGAGGAGGAGGAGGAGGAGGAGGAAAGAAAAGTGTTTAAATGCACGGAAGTGAATCATGCTACCCAAAAGGTGAAGAATGAAATAGAATTATGATAATTTAACGTGCAGTTCTGCTTTGAATACAAGAAAAGATAAAACAGTATATGCCCAACAAAGAATATCAAAATATAAAATTCATCTGTGCTTCATTGAAATACTGAATAATTTCTTCGTGTGAGTCATTGAAATAGTCATAAGTAGATACCTATAGAAATAATATTGAAAGATCCAAGTTGCATCGAATATTTTGACTATTATTATCATTCAGTATTTGGCATCACATGTGCCTGAGAGGCGTAAAGCAGCTGCTATACTGACTCATTTAAACCTTTGGGTCTCTCCTGCCGGTATAACTGATTGGGGGTGTGTCGGTGGACCACTGTTCCACTGCACCGGAGTTTATTATTATTCCAGTTTTATGGGTAACAGTGTAGTCTGTAATTGTTATGTATGGCACTACTGGAAAAAGTATAATCCTCAACAAAATAGTGATAAATAATGCTACATCTGGTTATAATGTTTCCTCAGACCCACGCGTCGGTATAACTTTCTATGTAAACAGTGCCAAGCTGTATCTAGGCAACTCTAACTACAGTCATGCCTTTGACGTGAAGAGAATGTTCTGTGTACGGTGAGATCAAGGCAACGTCTTATATTTATTACAAGTCATAGAAATTGATCGATAAACTTCTGAGAAGATAATAATATATATCAAAAATTTATCTTAACCTTTGATCTTAACCAATCGCGAGTCCTCCAATCAATCGCAAGTTTGCAGTCTCCTATTTCTTATGTACATAGCTGTGAATGAATGCAATCGCAAATAAGTAGCGATTAATATCAAACCTTTATAAGAGTGCTAGTGTGTTAAGGAGAAAAGTGCTGCAATTGGTTTTTAAGTTAAAGGGGTTGTTCATATTTTTGTTTCTCTGTTTTTTGAAATTTCAAACCAATGATATGCGACGAAAGATAACTTAAATTATACCATTGCTTTTTAAAATACAAAAGAATATCCGAAGATATTTATATATGATATTCATTAAAATGTCAATCGAGTTGTTTCATTTCTTATGAATGAACATGTCTTGTCAGCCCTCCTCTCTCTTTCTATTATTGCGTCGTATCTAAACCATGATCTGAACGAGGTTCATACCTCATTCACACCGCCGAACCGACTAAAGACCAACTCTAAACTGACTGGTTTTTGGCCATAGGGGGTAGTGTAATTTTTTTTCTCGGTCTGGTGTTGGTCTCGTGGGTGTGACTGAGGTATGAAGGGTAACCATCCGGGGTAGTTGTTTGGGGTGGAAGTCACATGGGTTGACAATCTGACAGTAGTCGTCTTGATACAACATGAATTACAAATCCCTCAATAAATCTAGCTAAAAGCTTTCAAGGAAAAAAAATGAATAAGTAACCTGATGGATCATATTTTCTGTGTGTATAAACATCAAATTCGAAGGTCTGTTTATCAGCATTTTTTCAAACTTAAGCACTATCACAGTCGTATAATTCGGCGATAATTGTACGATTTAGGGATATTCATAATCATCCTTCTGAACACGACATACTGCTGACATAACATAACTCCGTTGCCATAAATTTGAAAAATGTGAAACATTTAAAGATCACTCGCTATAGTAATTCTTTCGAAAGCATTAATGGAAACATGCAATAATGATGAAAATATCTAAACGAGTGGAGCATGCAAGTCTATCATCTAGTAATAAAATGAACTTCTAAGGGACTATAATCAACGAACAAAATGATATTCAAAGTAGAGTTATCATGCAGAAACAAAAATGAACATGATCGCAACTATTTTCGGAAAATCAACTCTTAGACAAGAGCAATTTCAATACCCTACTGTGCATCCATATAAATTATATTCCGAATACATAATTCGTCATTGTCATGTTCGCATATTTTAATTGGAGGCGCACAAGGTGAATGAAATTGCCTCAGGTCAGTTTTTCGATTTAGTAGTTTTGATCGTTAAAGGCAGGGTATTTTACCGACATCGTTACGCTGCTGTAACGTTTTTTCAATTGCGCCATCTATTGGTGAAGGTATACAGAGAGCGATTTCCGGTTCCTCTACCCAAACATCATCGCGCGCGCGTCACGCAGTTGGTGATGAATTGTGGGACATGGCTGTCGACACATCGTGACACTGTGAGCAGCAGATGGAAGTATACATAAATCTGAAGTATCGTTTCAGTAGAATACCCTGCCTATTGTGCGAAAGACCATTAGTATGAAGAAGTTGCTGGATTAATTTTACCGAAAAAGACTTACATTTGTATATCCTTTGTCCAATTCCACAGTAGTTTCTTGTAACGCACTCATTATGCGCTCGGTATACTAAAATTTAGTTCAGACAGATTGTGGATACAGACAATGGAAGCAAATTAATTACGTTGAGTCGACAGTTAACCTTCACAACTATTTAGTAACTATTGAGCTGCAGTACATGAAAATCAGTAAATCGCTAGCGCCTTTAACAAGGGACTACATCTAGGATATTTCAGAATGAAAGGTCTTCCGAACCGTATCGTATCCTAATTTTTCTTCAATTGAAAATTTGGGAGCGAGGCTAATTAAAATTGCGTCTACGAATCGTTGATATACACAGAGAAATGATCGGCTCAATTAACAGAGAGAAAAAACCCCAAAGCTTTACCTCCAAAACATGTACCTTAAGTTTTGTACCATTTTTAAACCATACTTTAGTCATTACGTACCTTGATGTGACGCATATCATCCAAGTCTGTTGTTTTATCTTGTTTGGTGTCTACCCCCTCACCATTCTCTTCGGAATCCCTCCGTGCCCCTTTTCGGTAGCTTAAAACAGGAATTTTGGCGGAGTTGAGGTTGACTGCCTGTCTGGGACCAGACTTTCGCCCCTCTGAGTTGGAAGAGTGGACATCTCTAGCCGGGGAAGGGTTCCTGTTCGTCACTGGGACTGGTGGAAGACTTGAGGATGAGGGAGATCTGATGTGCTCAGACTGTCTAGGAAATGAGGACCAGGTCCCAAAGGACTCTCTGGAGCAGGTATCGTCGTCTTCGTTCGCTATGGCAGCATACATGGACTCGCGACCGTTGCTGTGTTGCCCCTGCCGCCTTTCGAGACGGGGTGCAGTCGACAAGAGGTCACCAATACTAACGATAGCAGTTTTTGACATGTACTCCATTTTCTTCGACTCTTTGATGGCCTCCTCGATCAACAACCGATGATCTACAGAAGTCATCTTCACCGTTTCACTTGTGGTCGATTCGCTGGGAGTTCTCTCAGAGTCTCCTGTCTCTGCACTGTCCAATGTCTCACCCATAGGAGGTTCGCAAGCAAAGATACCTGCATGAGGGTTTCCAGAATGCGCGTACGATATCTTTACAGGGTTAGCTGGGAGTGGCACTTTCTTTGAGTTCACTTTGGGCTTTGTGGCGTTCTTGAGAGCTGCCCTTAGAAGCCTGTCCTCTGCAGATTTGGTCTTTGCCGACCCGACCCGTTTCTTCAACGGCTCTCGCTGATGCATTCGAGCCACAGGGGCGCTGTGAGCTGTACCGTTTCGGGCATTCCCATCAAGAATGTCCTCACTATTGATCGCATCACCATCCACACTTTCAACAGCCCTAGGTCCATGCGTGACTATATAACGGTTTCCTGAACACCCGTTATCCTTCTGTTGTACCTCATCGTCATCTGGTAAAATTAGTGTAGGTGTGTTCAAGTGGACACCCTCCTTCTTGTCCGAGTTGTCATTCTTCTTCTTGTAAAACATAACCTTCTTGTCCAAATGGTCCCTTCCATTCTTGTCCGAATTGTAATTTCCCTTCTGGTCCACGTGGTCCCCTCCTTTTTTATTCGATTGGCAATTTTCTTTTGGTTGTTCCGCCTGGATTTTAACTCGATCTATCTTATTCCCAATCCTTGCGTCCTTGTTTTCGTCTGCTTTGCTCGTTTGACTAGAGCCGTTGGTAAGGTCTTTACTGACGTTTGTCTTTTCATCTTTACTGACGTTTGTCTTTTTATCTTTACTGACGTTTGTCTTTTCATCTTTACTGACGTTTGTCTTTTCGTCTTTATTGACGTTTGTCTTTTCGTCTTTACTGACGTATGTCTTTTCATCTTGCAGACAGTCTTCCTTCTCCACCTCAATGTCTTCGTGCAAGCCCAAGCTGACGTTGACGAAGGCCTCAAAATCCAGAATACCCGAGCATTGTTGATCAGTGGTGCAGAGGAAAGGCTCCCATATCTTTGACGAAGGAACCCCCTTTGGAGCATCTGAAAAAACGAATGAAAATTATGTTTGCATTTAGTTATATTACTACAGGACGTATAATCACAGGACGTATTGTTACAATCATGTTTTTTTTTTTTAAAGACCGTCACCACTACTGGGCCAGAAGGGATTAGACCACACAGAGAGCCATCGAGGTCACTGTGACAGGTGGCTATCTCATTAACTCAGCTCTCATTTAACACAAGAAAAAGAGGATCATGGGGGACCAACAGGCACCGATTGGGGAAGTTTTCTATATAGAGGGAGCAAGTAGCTACAAGTATGGCAGTGTGCCTTTAATAGGTTCCTGCGATTGAAATTTCGTTTAAGGGAAACAACAAACTTACATGATACGGTAAGATGTGAATGATATCATCAAAACGTTTTGACTGTGACATGTTTAATGAATATTTGTCTAATGTAGTCTCTAAGTCTCTAGGGATATGAAATTCGTTAATATTATTTTAAGGGATATAAATAAAGGTTGTGCAAATAGAAGGCCCAATAATACTTTGCTCGATCTTTAGTATAATTAAAGTGTTGACATTTAGAGTGTGTAATTTGTTAAATGAAGTCTTTGGTAAACGGAGGACTGCATGCTCATTCTAAAATGTACGTCGAAACTTGACTCTCATCACTGAAAGCAAGCTTTTGTGGACGAGTGCTTCAAACATTGCTTTAAAAAAAAAAATTATTTACCTGCTTTTATCTTCAAGTTTCGTTTAGCCCAGGCGTCGATGGCTGTGAAAAGTGAAACAAAACAATAGATGAGTTTAGAAATAAAAGTCTTCAAATTAAAAAAGTAAAATGAAGTAAAATGACATAATAGAGTCTCAAAGTAATTCCAAATAAAAAATTCAACATAATTCTTTTAAGGTTGGCTTGATCTAACGGGGGTCTCGTTTATTTTGTTTGTGCAACAGATATCCTAATAACAAAAGTGCAGAACACAATATTTTAATATAACTACTTTTGATGAAACGATATTCAGAAGAGAGTTTTTATTTTTGCAATTATAAGCTTCGGACGACGGAGAGGCTAGTGACAAAAAGGGGTGGGAAAGATTGATAGGTGGGGGGGGGGGGGGGGTTAAAGAGGATGGTGTTGATGATGGGAAAGGGGGCAGCGAGGGGGTGGGGAGGGGAGGGAGGGTGGGAGGGGCAAAAAAGGTTCTTACCTAAGTAAAATATGTCGCTCTCTTCATCATCACTCTGCTCCCAGCCATTCAGTGGAACCCATGCCTCACATCTTGGCTTGCTGTAACGTGGTAAATACAGTTATGATAATAATCAATTAATAAAGCTACGATGAAAAGCTGATGAAAGTACAGAAAATAATACTAGATTGAGGAAAAAGAAAGAAGATATAATTGTAAGAGGGAGAAAGAGGGGGATAGAGGGATAGAGGGGGAGAGAGGGGAGAGAGAGGGAGAGAGGGACATAGAGAGGGGCAGAGATAGGGAGAGAGAGGGGGAGAGAGAGGGGAGATAGAAAGAGTGGGGAGGGAGAGAAAGAGAAAGGGGAAGGGAGAGAGTGAGAGAGAGAAAGGGAGAGAAAGAGAGAGAGAGAGAGAGCGAAAGAGAGAGAGAGAGAGAGAGAGAGAGAGAGAGGGGGGGGGGGGGAGGGGGAGAAAAAAAGAATAGTACAGATAATTGTTTAATTAGAATTGTAACAATGTTTTCAAAAATCAACATGAATTGATCGCGAGGCACAAGCACAAGGGAGAGAATGATTGAGAGAGGTAGAGGGAGAGATAATGCGCGTAAATTGTATGTGCTTTTTTTTTGGGGGGGGGGGGGGGAGTGGGGGTGGGGTGGAGGTTGGGGTGAAGGAGCTAACCTTCATTTCCAAAAATTAATGAGCCATGCAACATTTAAAAAGTAAATGAAGTATGCGATCTATCGTTAAATTGACTCCAATAAATATTATAATAAGTTGACAACATCAAGCAATATCAAATTATGATGATGAACACTGTTTCACTTTCACCCATGAAAATGTTCAATGTAGCGCAACATTAGTATCGCATACATTTATTTTTTAACCGTGCATCGAATATTGTGGTGTAAGCCTTTTCTCTCTCTCTAAATATCACATTTGTAGGATCTACTCAAACGATAAAATTTATGAAAGTCTTCGTCGAGGAGTATTATGTTTGCCTGCGGATATTACTTTATCGGGGGAGGGGGGGCATGGATCCTCTTCAGAATAGGGTTGAAACTCATTAAATTTGAATTCCAAACTCTATTGGATACCCAGTTTATTGACAGAGGATTTCGGGAGGGAAGGGGTAACTGCCCCTTGCCCCCTTGGAATCTCCCCCCCCCCCGATTTCTAGAATATTTTTTATTTAAATAGAGCTTCCATCAATGATCTCCCTTTACGTTAGTCTCATTATTTTCACATCAAACAAAGCTCAGTTCATAAGGAGTACAAACTGCAAAGTCTCGAGTTACTATGTAACGGCACATGCAACCCTTTGTGTCGTATTTAATCATTCAATTGATGTTTACAGTTTGGCTTCCTATGTTTGCATTGTATATAAACAGTGCAGACTGTTTTCTTTACAATGACTCGTTATAGTATGTTCACACGTACATGTATACATTTCTACTATTCAGGCTATATTCTTTAAGATTTGCAGAGTGACTACATATACACAGAATAAGTATGTATAAGAGTTCAATCTTTAAATACATTTCAACCGTCTACGTTTTTCATAATATGTACAAGTTCATAAGAATGTTTTTACATAATTTCATGTATGATAGACTGGGCATAGGTTTAAAGGATAAGTCCACCCTGATAGTAAGTTGGTTTTAATAGAAGCAGAAAATCGCAGGAACAGGTAAATGATGACAATCATTAGCATATTATACATGGTATTCATAACAGATCCCTGTTATTAGAAACGAGGCCTAAAGAAGTAGCAATAGTAGTAGTGGTAGTAGTAGTAGCAGTAGTAGTAGAAGTAGTAGTAGTGGTAGCATGGTAGTGGTAGTGGTAGTGGTAGTGGTAGTGGTAGTAGTAGTAGTAGTAGTAGTAGAAGTAGTAATGGTGGTAGTGGTAGTGGTAGTGGTAGTAGTAGTAGTAGTAATAGTAGTAGTGGTGGTGGTAGTGGTAGTGGTAGTGGTAGTAGTAGTAGTAGTAGTAGTAGTAGTAGTAGTGGTGGTGGTAGTGGTAGTGGTAGTGGTAGTAGTAGTAGTAGTAGTAGTAGTAGTAGTGGTGGTAGTGGTAGTGGTGGTGTTAGTAGTAATAGTAGTAGTAGTAGTTGTAGTAGTAGTAGTAGTAGTAGTAGTAGAAGTAGTAGTAGCGGTAGCATGGTAGTGGTAGTAGTAGTAGTAGTAGTGGTAGTAGTAGGGATAGTGATGGTGGTGATGGTAGTAGTAGAGGTACATGTGCATAGAATCATGTAAAGATACCGAAAAATACAGTAGAATTGAAGCATGGTTATACATTTCCTTTCCTTAGTTCTTACCACGTTTCAATGTGCCCGCTTCCACAGTACATTTTGGTGTCATTCAGTTAAGCGGTTGTTTCTACAATTGCAACTCTTTCATTCAAATCGATCTGATATAACTATAAAGAATATCCTTGCCATTTACTGTCTAAGCAGACCACATATTCGTCGCCAATGACATCTCAAATATCGAATCGATAATGACCTCCAGTTTCCCAGGATGATTAGGCGGGTCATGATTGGAGTACAAAGGATTTGATGATAATAATGTTATCTGAGGGCAACGATTCATGCTTTGTATAGTTGATTAGTTGAGAATACATTGGGGGAGGGGGGGGGGGGGGGCTGGAAGGATCCGGGGCAAATCGAATGAAATCATCAGTAGAAGATATAGGGTTAATTTATAGGGGTGGGGTGTTATGTAGCGAAACCTATAAGGACCGCTCAAGAGCAATTTATAATTGGTTTATTATGGGTAAGTGGTCTTTATGCAAAAGTTCTTTCAGTAGACAGAAACGTAAAATGTGGCCTTTATAGACAGGTGGTCGTTCTATACAGGTGGTCGCTAAATCGGGTTTGACTGTAAATCAGTGGCGAATCCATGATTATTTTACTCGAGCGAGGGGGGGGGGGGCATATCAAATGAAACTTATCAAGGGCATTCATACAGGATAAATTTCTGTGAACTGGACTTGATATGAGTAAGTCTGACTAATCTGACAAGCAAAAAGAAACAAAAAACAATCAAACACAGGCGAGGTTACCAAATTAACATGGGGGGGGGGGGGGGCGGCGGCATGTGCCCCTTTACCCCAGGGACCCAAGAATATATTTAACAGCCTATAATTATATAGACATATAAAGTTAGAACCATATCAGCTTGCTGTAGTGGGATCGATCCCTGAATGGGTTTATCTGTTTTGTAAACATGCATCTATACATTCGTCATTTTAATGACATGACCCTCTAATTACCACAGACTTCACAAAGCCATCTACATCGATTCGCCTATGGCAATGAAAGAGAACATTCACTAGTTTCTTTGTTTGTTTGATTGTTTATTTTACTTGAATAATTGTTAGTGGGATCAGGAAGACCGACATTTGCTTTACGCCCTAGCCAAAGGAATTGTAGTCTAGTTCTGGACCCTATATGATTTTTGTTATTCGCCGACTATAAACGTTAAGCCGAGTGATTGGCGCGATCCTTATTGACTGCCATATCCCCTATCATCGCGCGATTAGTGGGGATATGGCAGTCAATATGGATCGCGCCAATCACTCGGCTTAACGTTTATAGTAGGCGAATAACAAAAATCATATAGGGTCCAGAACTAGACTAAAGGAATTGGGACTCGGACCCACAATAACCTATTACCCAAAGGAAACCATCACTAAACGAAGTGATGCCATGCAGACTGGACTTTCTTGAATCAGTTCATTTCGAAGTATGATGTAGATTAAGTGATAAACGTATTTACCCAAGATGCTCGTGTAATCTATTACCAAATTGATGATGTGTTTCATTAATGCCCTTGATCATTCCAATATTCTATACATTAATGTGATGAACAAAATGATTATTACATTTTCGAACATAACTCCAGTTCCTACATGCTGGTATATATTTCTATACATTTCTGCATATATTTTATGTGCACAAGACTGAACTGCGTGATCTCACTAATATATCTGTGGGTTGCCTAAGAAGTAGGGCAGTCTGTTATTTCTTCACGTATTTACTTCTATACTCAATGAGCTATGATAATCGATGAATGTAATAGTTTCCTTTTTACTCAATAGATTGATAAATCGAGTTGTTTTACCTGTACTTTCAAGATGATCATGTAATTATGTCAAAGCAAGTTTGAAAACAACCAGACTGTGGAATGCCTTGTTTATACAGATAATTCAGCAACACACTGAACTGCTCACCCCAAAAATCTTTATTTACCCCGAGGGCCTTTTCCCTATTATTGTCGTAATTGTCCCTCTCTCTTGTTTCCGATTGTCCGCAGACAACAGACATTACGTAATAGCGATACCTGAAAGGAACGATCGATAGTAGACTATTGTTTGCTATCTTACTCTGACGAACAAGCTTCGCACCTGATATCATCGTATTGTATACTGTGTGTGGTTTTGACACTAGGCTCTTATATCAGATGTCGCCTCACCTCGGCGCGTGATATCACTTGAAAGTGCAAATATCGCATGATAGTGACAGTTTAAACGATTTTCAGTATTTTTATGTCGACAGATTTAGGGAGAGAGATAGAAAAAATGTGTGGGTGGGGGTGTGTGTGTGTGTGTAAAAGAGAAAGTGTAAGAGAGAGAGAGAGAGAGAGATAGAGAAAGAAAGATAGGAGAGAGAAATGTGACCGACGGTACAATTCAGTAAACCTCTTTCATTAACTTTATTAAAAATACCCAAACTATGTGTTTGCATTTACTTATATATAGGCCTATGTTTCCCTTTATTTTTGTATCTCTTTCTTTCATTCAATTTCTGTCTGTTATGTTAATATGTAAGCAAATAAAAAAGCATGTTGTTGTTGTTGTTTTAGTCTTAAGGGCGTGTGTCATTCAATTATGAATATTTGGCCAATTGCCCTTATAGTCTTGATATACATTCTTTCCGAATGAACTGAGTAAATTAATGAGTAAATTTGCATTAGTGGGGAGCCCCGAAATGTACTTAAAATAATTATTGAACAATGATGTGAAAGGGGATGTCATTTAACACACAATTTTGCAAGGATTTTCAAAACAAACGTGTTTAAAGACGAATATTGATGATAGAATGCAATATCTTGGATTACTGTTGTACGCAGAAAAACCTCATTTTTTATTTATTCATCTATATTGGTCTTCAAACACATTTATTTTGAAAATCCTTGGAGAAGTTTGTGCTAAGTGACATCCTCTTTCACATCATTGTACAATTTATATGAAACTTTGCCTTAGATTTGTTTGGAGCTCCCAACACTTTAGTGAGGCTATATTCATGAATCATGGGTAGATGATAGAGATAATGTAGAGATGATGTGGTCCAGTTGATAAGTATCCGTACTGTGAACCACAAAGTACAGGATTCGAAACCCTGTCGCAGCACTAATGGCCTTTGGCAAGACAGTAATCTACATTTGCCACACTCCACCCAGGTGAGGTAAATTGGTACCTGACAGGAATATGTTTCTTGAAATGCTCGAGCGCTGTAATGGCAGCTGTGCTAAAGTCGAGGTAATACGAATGGAGCGCCAAGAGTGGCATTGTGCCAGACATGAGCGCTATACAATACCCTCTATTACTATTATCATTTTTTATCAATAATTTGACCTTTGAACCTTTGGAAAGTTATGGGTGTCTTACCTCAGATTTTTAGTGGGTTTCGATGAAGCTGTTCTGGGCTGGTTCCTCGACAAATTCTGTTGTGCTCTGGGAGGAAACATCTAGCACGTCATCATGTCATCTCCTAGTCGTCGTTATCATCATCGTCATGGACATCATCTCAAACACTGACAGGGTTTTCTCTATGTTGTAATCGATAAAATGTTAACAAAGTGATAGAATGAAACCAAAACGCTGTGAAAAAAGTATCGTCAAATTTATATAATACCGTACTCATCTAGTTTGAAAGAAGTCGCTTTCTTCTTTCCTTCTTATTGTAGTTTATTTTGTGTTGTTAATTAGTTTCTTCAATATGAACATGAAGCAAAATGTACTGGTTGATTTCTGGACCCATTAAAATAACTAAACAACAACTTTGATTTCTTAAGATTGTTGAGTTAAGTTTAAAATAATCATTCATAGATGCAGGCACAACGATACAAATATTTTGAAAGCCTAGGCCTCGTGTACCCTTATCACACAAAGAATGATGGTAGATACCACCACTGAAAAAACGGAGCCCAGTTCTTCTGCTTTGTGGAAAGCAATATTGTTATTGTATACATTTTTACTTCATCTACGCTAGAAAATCAAATTATCATCTAGTAACATTTGCATGGTATGTGTGACAAAACCACTTTCTGATTTGCATTTATGAGCTCGTAGCTAGCAATTAGGCAAAATCATTCACTTACAGTTATAGCGGTTTCATAATTTATCACTGACATACACAAAGTAATACCGCAATGAACTGCCAAATTCTAACATGCACATTATATTAGTGTAGATATGTTTATGATTTATTTTACCGCTCTAATTTGCGGCTAAATTCGCTTAACATTAATCTACGGCACGGTATTAGAGGTATAGAAGCATTACATCGGCAACTTTCACGAGTATGCCTAGCATGGCTTATAACTTATACCACCCAATCGAGAAATGTGCAGGTGGCATGAACTATCTGTAGACACAACATCACTTTCAGTTCACATGTAACTTACCTCACTAAACGATTTAATCCTTAAACATCGAATATCATTTCTTCCAAATTAGGGAACACCTCTGTGCACGACCACACAAATATATACACGCATTAGGTTTGTCCAAAATAGCTATCAGAGCTTGTTAAATGAGAGTACTCCATTAGAAAATACACATCTATACAAGTACTATATACCCGTGCAACAGTAAACACCAACTAAACGGTGACAATGGAATTCGAAACCTGTTTACCCCCTGTGTTGCCGCTTCAGTGAGCATTCCCCTCTTTTGGATGAATACGGCAGAACAGAAAGGAGTGAAAATCCACCTTTGCCCCTACCATATTACGTCTATGCCCCTACACGTATCGTGTGAATGAGGGCGATTCGGGTTGCGGCCGATTTGGGTGCACACATTCTATTTCCGTGTGTGGGAACGTGCTGGATAGCGTTCCGTTGTCATGCGAACCCTGTGATTCAATCCCGGGGATCTATTTCCGATTTCAGGTTTCCCTTTGTGTGCAAACGCTTGGCTTCTATTTCAGGCGCAAAAAAGAAAAAGTATGTAATCTTATTGCAGCCAAGAAAGGTGCTCTGCAAGGAATAGCGCCTTTCTTGTTGCCAGCAGTTTAAAATAGATTGCCTTTTATAGCAGTCATAGGCGTATCGCTAATTATCCAGGGATCGGGAAAGGGGGGGGGGGGGGGGGGTGGTCGTTCTTACTAGATGAATGAATGGACATAATTATGTAGAAGGGAGTCCAATTTTCTCAAAATCCACGCTTCTCCGGCTAATTTCCCCTTTATTTCAGCCATCTGATTGGGCGGGGGGGGGGGGGGGGATGGGCGTACCCCTGTAACTACTCAGGACCTCGAGACACATCTTGCAGGTCTTCTAGAGAAGTCGTCATGACATAACTGCAACTTCTTAGCACTCGATTTAATTCATCCCTGGGAGAAAATACCTCACTTCGTCAAAATCGAGAGATTCAGTTAGAAAAAAACCCACTCAGCTACATATTTTTCCCCAAAGAGCGCCCTCTTTTGGCTATCTAAGAAAATAATGTCCTTATCCCTCGAAAATACGATTCCTGTTTTGAATCAAGTTGTCGGTGTATGACATGTAATTTATTTAGTTGTTTATTTATTTATTAATTTATATATTCATTCTTTAATTCTTAATCAATTGATTAATTACTTAAAATTTGTTCCGAAAAAAACTTATGGAAAAAAACTTAGAAAACCTACCTAATGTCTGAAGCTAAGATAAAGTGTACTTCACAATCTGATGTAATTAACGTTGTTTAATTATATTTAATTATGTTTAATAGTTTTTGTTGAGCATCCCTTAGGTCGGATAATTTATGTGCGCATTTTACATGTTTTTATTATTAATTCATTAATTCATTAATCAATTAACTATATATTAAATCTATTTATTTGATTATCTATTTTGTTTAATTCATGTATATTCTTATATATTATATATATTCCTTTTTATTGAGTCATTTAATTATTTACATACTTATTCATGTATTCATCTATATGTCTATTTGTTCATAAAATATGATTGTAATATGATTATGACCTCTCGAGACCGACTTTAGCTTAAAGACCGTCAATACTACTGGGCCAGAAGGGATTAGACCACCCAGCCAGGTCACTGACAGGTGGATATCTCATCAACTCAGCTCTCAACTAACATAAGAAAAAGAGGATCATGGGGCACCAACAGGCACCGATTGTGGAAGATTTCTATATAGAGGGAGCAAGTAGCTACAAGTAGGACAGTATGGCTTTAAAGTCTCCTCCTGAAAGTCAAGCCTCACGACACATTTTCTAGCCAGCATCTGTCAGAATTTGTAGGCGGAGACCGAAAGCTGGCTAGACCCCATTCACATCGGATGAGCAGATAGGGTTAGATCATAACATGCAATTAGACGGTAAGTTCTGTGTTTTGACAATAATCAGTGTAAAACCAACGTGTAAATCAGATTGACAATCGTTGCTGTTTGCAGTATCGACTTTAATAAGCACACACTGACGAAGTCCAAATAAAACCACACCAGACAACTCTGTCGTTTTACCTTATCTGCAGAATTTATCAGCCCCTCAAATAAAGGCATTGTTTCAGAGGCGGCTCGTTATCGTAGCTATAAAACTCTACAAAATGTGTGTTCAGACACTCTAATCCCCCTCCCAAATAATGTTTGGCACAATTCTATGATAACACTTTTACACATTTAAAAAAATACCAATAGTAACTTATCAGTAAGAAGGAAATCAAAGTAATTGCGGAATGAAACATAATTAGCAAAGGAACAATATAATCTTGTTATTTGTGATGAATTGCATAGGAAATGCACGTCAGGGGAAATGTAAAACAATGTTATTAAACAAAAATATAAACAATTACGTCAGTGAATGTCACAACTGGACATAATGTGAGTAAAACATGGGGTTCTATTGATGAGATTCCAATGAAAGTAGGGTAATAATTAACCATATGAGCGATTTTACAACACTGCCACAGCATCATCCCAGGGTAAGTTGTGAATACAGCGTCTAATGTTTTTCACAATCATTATCACTGTTATCATTCGCCCATATAATTCAGTATTTAATTCATCAGATTTATTCAGATATACTTCAATTCAGTTTTAAAGCTGAATTATCTATGTGTATAGTTTTAAATAGATTTTATTCATAAATATTCATGAAGACAGCTAAATTAGGTTATTTAAGGAAACGAAACGAGCCATAACGAAGCGAATATCAATGTTATGCATTATTCTTATTTTGTCATCACCAAAATGTCTCCATAATTGATTTCCTATTTATGTCCGAGTCTTTATTTTACATTTGAGCGAAACAAATATCCATATTGAAATTACATTGGACTATTATATATATTTAATTGAATTTATTTAAGTTGAAGTTCATTCTGCTGAAATGAACATACTCAGTGGCGGATCCAGGAGGGGGGGGGGGGGGGGGGCACAGGGGGCACGTGCCCCCCCCCCCCCGGCCCCCCAAAAATATGTTAAAATCAGCCCTAAATTCGCCCAAAATGTACTGAAAAAAGGGGCGTGCCCCCCGGACGAAAATAGAATTATATTTTGTTTAATTTTATTTAAATCGCCACTATTGTCCTTTCTTTCTTTTTATGAACCACAGGCTCTGATTTTCTTCAGGGCGATCGACCTCACTCATGATTATGCACCAACGATTTTAATGTTCCGGTCCTTAAAAAAAATTGTTAAAAAAATTATATATTTGAAAAAAATAAAGAAACAAAACAGGGCAAAAATGGTATTCGGAAGCAGGAGCTCGTCCCTGAGGTATATTGGTTTCAAGTCGATATATTAGGGAAGAGAGGGTCACATGCGAGTACGTCCACAACATAAGCCGTATAGTCGGCATGTAGGCTGCACTAAGATTTGTCGGAAACAAATCTGAGGATTTATTATGGAGAAAGAACGTGATTTTCTCTTTGAAATTCAGATACCGCCCACCAAATGACTTTTTGGTTTTCTCTCTTCAAATTGATTTGAATCACTCATGCGTAAACTTGGCATCATATGAGTTGCATCAAATGAAAGAGGAGGATCTAAGCTTTCCAAATATGTGTAATTTATGAATTATGAATGTGACTAAGTTAAAGGGAAAGTCCACCCCCAAAATAAGTTTGTTTCGATAGAGGCAGAATAATAGGAAAATCAGGTGAGTGAAAGTTTGAGCAAATTCTGAATGAAAATAAGAAAGTTATGAATTATTGAAGTTGTGATCAATCAAATACAAATTGGCAACTCTGTGACTTATTATACGAGCTCTCCTTCATTTGCTTTGTGCATAATATTCCATAAAATCATGTTTTCTTCGTTATTGATGACGGAATATATATTTTTTCCTTGCAGGGGGAGTTTAGAAACATATTTGCAATTATTATATTTAGGGTGAATGTATGGTTGAAATTTTTCTTGAGGGAAAATGAAAATTTTAGATTTTTTTAGTACTGAGCAAATGGAAGTTGAGCTCGCATGATACGTCATAGAGTTGCCAATTTGTGTTTGATTGATCACAACTTAAAAAATCCTAACTTCCTTATTTTTAATCGGAATTTGCTCAAACTTTCACTGACTTGTTTCTCTCATTTTTCTACTCCTATTAAAACTAAGTTAATTTCAGGGTGGACTTCCCCTTTAAGATAAAACATCGATAATTCTCGGTTTCGTTTTGTCTGGGACGCACTGTATAATATAAAAACATGTTGGGAGGGGTTCCCCTGTACGCTCTCACGACCTTCGCGTAGGTCATAGTGCAGTATGCAGTGTCTAATCCACTAAACTGTGCATCATTGGGAATTTAACACTCGTCTTTTTTTCGTCTCATTGTGGGTACTGGGTAGGGCAAGCCCGTACGCAGGAGGTGTGATTTTTTTTTTGTGCTCAAGTGAGGGAGGTGTTGAGGGGGAAAAAATAGTGCTCACTACCCTCCCCCCCCCCCCCCCCCCCCCCACTGAGCGAAATATCGGTCGGCGCGATTTAAAAATGTCGGGGGCAAAAAAAAAAAAAAAATTATTGCTCGCCACTATTGTCCTTTCTTTCTTTTTATGAACCACAGGCTCTAAACTGGTGGAAAAGTCAACGGATAACAAAAAAATCCTTTAATACGTACTTCGCCCATTTCAGTCAACGACATGTAAAGCTGCAAACCTTAATGTCAGTTTCTGCCCCAGAGCCTCCCAAAACACCGAACTTAGTCCAATTTTAGTAGTTGACAACATTTCGGTCGATATGGGCCACAGCAACCTTTACAGTTCCGGACAAATTTTTCCCTTGAAGCCCCGGAACAAATTTTAAAAAGAAGTAAGAGTAATGGTTGTACATCACGAGAAGTGGAAAATAAAAAATTAATCCGTTGGAGTGGGTGTCAGACTGCCATAAACAAATCACCAACTGAGTGCTCTTTGTACAATCATCGCTTTCTACACAGTAAAAACGCTGCTTAAAAAAGTGATGTTCACTTACAGTTGTACACTATCTTAAACAACAGTTGAACAAATTGTAAACAATGTTGCTCGTAACGAAAGTAAGTTTGTTAAACATTCGCTGTTTAAAATTTAATGACTGCTATATTTACTACACGAGAGATTTTAGATAGTGTTGTTTACATATGACGTCATGTGTCACGTGCCAGTAAAGTGCGCGTTGGCTAAAAGCTTTGTTTCACA